CTTCAAAAGATAATAATTAAAATTTCAAACCAATTAAATTAAATTAAATACGTAAAGCATTAATACATAAACTATCCATCATTTATCTCATTATAACTTAAATTTAAATGAGGTTCTAATATGAGATTTACTTGTTTTGTTTCAAAAGTACAAATACAAAGCAATTATACTCGTATTGCTAAAATACGATTTTGATATTAATTATGATATTAATTATTGCTGCCGAAATACATAATGATAAAATTTAATTGAACGTCTTACATTTTCTTTGACTAAATTTGAATTAAACCTTCACTTTATTGAAACTTCATTGAATTTATTGAAATTCTAAATTTTAAATAATTATTTTTAATATTAATGTTATGTTAAGCTTTTTGCGAGTTAGTGCATCTGGGCACTTTTACTCTATGATAGCTGGGGGGATACTGCATAGTCCCGCCCATCTCACTGACTAATTTAAGTATTCTTGATAATCTTCATGATAATTCAATGATTGATCTAAGATCTGCGTACCGCCCCGTGCGGTTAGTGATTATTCTGTGATTAGATAGTGCTAAGCAGGCTGTCGGTTTTCACATATAGCTTCAGAGCAGAATTATTAAACTTCATTAAAAAATTTAAAAAAAAATATAAATAAAAACATTTATTTCATGAAACATATATAGAATTGATATTGTGTCCTTTCTGGCGATGTCCTTTCTGCGAAAGAAACTAAATTCTTAACATGAACTATTTTTTTCAATAGAGGTTTTTATCGAAAAGTAGTGAAATTGCAGCAACAAACATATTTTAATTATTTTTAATTATTTATTACCTTAAATCGAAGTATGTCCCCAACAATTTCACTAAATAACATTTCTATACTACAAGCAGATAATATAAGGTAATAATAATACAATATGTAACCTCAATGAGCGATTAACTCGGCGCAAACACATTGAAGCCAAAAACATTCAGATGAAGCTGCAAGCCTCTAAGTTGCACTGGCTCATTAACAACAGATCCTTCCTTTGCCTAGAATATAAAGACCTTTTGTATAACAGCATCATAAAACCAATATGGAGTTATGATATCCACTATTTAGTAATGCTACAGCTTCAAATATTGAAATTATCCAAAAACCTCAGTCAAAAATACTGAGAACAAGCACTGGTGCCCCATGTTATATTAAGAATGAAAGTATCCACTAAGATCTACAAATTCTCTTAGTTAAAGCTTAATTTAACACTATAAGAAAAAAAATACAATAAAAAGCTGACAGAACATGTTAACCCGTTAGCTAGGAATCTTGCACTTCTATCCACTACTTCCCGCCAAAAAATAGCTGACCCTTCAGCCACTAATAAAAATTCAATTGGTACAAGTAAAAACCCCTACCTTTTCTTAGTGATCTGATAAAGTTCAATTGTTTTCTTAATAAACTACCCAACATTCACTCCAATGAAATCCAACCCATTGACTTAAATGAAGTCCGTGATATAAAGTTTACTTATTTTATTTTATATAATGTATAATTTAGATAAAAATTGTAATATTATGTAATTTGAAACTTATTTTAGTCTTATAATCAGAGAAGATACAATTAACAAATGTATATGTATTGCAAAAAAAAAAATTTAATTAGTTAAATTTCGAATACTGCCAATCACTGCAAACTCATCATCAGTGGTCTTAAATTATTGTTTAAGATTACAAGTATCAAGAATTGAACTCATACCCAGTCAAATTCGAAGCTCCGACCCAGTTGTCATTATCCAACCGATCCAATGCCGTACTTGACTTTTATGTTCGTACATTTTCCGAGTTAATGCATCTGGACACTTTTACTCTATGATAGCTGGAAGGATTCTGCATAGTCCCGCCCATCTCACTGACTAATTTAAGTATTCCTGATAATCTTCATGATAATTCAATGATTGATCTAAGATCTGCGTACCGCCCCGTGCGGTTAGTGATTACTCTGTGATTAGATAGTATAAAGATTACAAGTATCAAGAATTGAACTCATATGCAGTCAAATTCGAAGCTCCGACTCAATTTTCATTAGCCAACTGATCCAATGCCGTACTTGACTTTTATGTTCGTACATTTTTCTGGAGTTTTGTTAATTTGCTGTGAAGGTTCATTGACAAATTGACCTGTTGTGCTGCATTGGAACGAAATAATAAACCAGCTGTAGAATGATTGAATTAATTAATTATATTTTTTATTTTTAATTATTAAATTGCTCTACTATTCTTTTATAGATGCATTATTAATATAAAACATATAAAACGTAACATATATTATAGGTATAAAACGTGTACATATTCCTGTGAAAATAGATATAAAATGTATCTATAAGATTTAGGTTATTTGAGTTATCTGTTAATTATTTATTGTGTAAAAATTGAATTGAAATTCCGAATACTTGTCCAATATAAGGCAACACGCTTCCGTAATACCCGTATATAGAACCTATTATTACACACATTTGAAGAAGGGCATTAAACACTAGCTTCACCTAACTTATAAATTCTCCAATGTGAAAAAAAGAACTGAAAAAATCTCATAAGCTCTTAACTTTTTACTTGTATTTTTTTTTTTGTATGGCCATTAATGTTTATATGCCACTTAGAGTTGTCCTGTTATTACATAATACTGCAGTGCATTTACACTAGAAAAAATGTGTAAAAAATTCAAAAAAATGTGTAAGTACAAGAGCAGCAATTTGTTGTAAATTGTTGTAAATTGTTCACAGAAGCCATAACCGTTTTCGTTTTAAATAGAAAATACCATTTTCAACACTTCTACAAAACAATAACTGCCGTTTTGTTGATGAAAATCACAGAACGAAAGCCATTATATCTTTATGACATTTTAGGCAGTGGCTCTTACGTCGAGCACTTCAATATTATTTCATGTCCTTTAGTAAATCATTTTACACCCTTCACACAAAGTAAATGGGAAGTATTCTAAACATTATGATTAGTTCAGATTTATATGTATTTCTAAATATATTTTCCCAAAGAGTATTACATGTACTACCACAAAAGTCTACTAAGTCTTCAGTACTCCGGTTCAACGAAAACCGGGCATCTACGGTCATATTATTTTTAAATTTTAATAAAGACATGTAGACATGTATGCTAGTTGATCCGCGAGCTTATTTACTTCAGCACACCTGTGACTAGAAACGTAAATAACGAAAACTTTATGGTGGAGAATGGGACCTTCGTTCGATTATTGAAGATTCCTTAGGAATTGTACATGATATGGATTCGTTTAGGAGTAGTATTTTCATTACTGCAAATATTTCGAATAAATTTGGTTGTTTATTAATCACATTAGTAAAATACTATTGAAGAATGATAGTATTTATTTATTTACTTGTTATCTTTTGATCTGATAATTCAATTTCTTTGAGTCGTATGTGCTTTGGAACCCGATTTTAATTTGGTGAGGGTTAGGAATTCAGTTATTTTCGATAGCGCATGTATGACATAAAATCGCTGACATTATTATAATTTTTACCGGCTACTATTGTGAATGTCTGTATATACTAGAAATTTTTCTTTGTTACATATTGGATGCTCAGTGGCAAGTTTGATAGCAAGAGCCTCAGTAGAAAAAATAGAGTATAGTGCAGATAGTTCAGCCTTCTTAAGTAAGTCATTTTGATATACCGCAGCATATATAACATAAACATTATATTTAGAAACGTCAGTGTACAATACAGGCCAATTGTTGTTCATATAGAAATCGAATTAACTGTTGTGATTATAATGCCTTTCAAACAGGTTTCAGGTTATTTACGGAAAAAACTGATGAAATCATGATACGGTATACTGACGAGGCCGATCAGTTCGACAATTCGGATATGCATTAAAAAATTCTTTTTGTCGAAATTTGGTTTTTATTGTAGGTAAGGCTTCTATAAAAAATAATTAATATACAATTCTTCTATGATAGAATTCGTTTAATTTGTTTTAAATGTACTTGAAGGGTATTCATACATCCATAATGCCATATCTCTCATACGTGCTATTATTTTTTATATTTTATTTCGAAGTCCAAAACATTAGCATTTCGAGAACTGTTTTAGAACTGTAAGACTAAGTAATAGCCAGTCCCAGGAAATGAATAATAAGCAACGTTTTCATTACATACTCGTAAAAGTAACAACAAAAAACTATAATAAATATGTACAAATTTGTAAACTGAAAGAGCTAGATATTATTAGACTGCTGACTACATGAGCGAATTAAAGAATTTATTTCGTACATAATATTTTCATATTTTTATTTTTTTCACAATATATATATCTTATATATATTTAATAATTATCAATAGTTCAATAGTGAGTTTTAGTTGTCAATATACTAATAGTAAAATGACATCCAAAAATAATATAAGTAATAGGTTGACTTATTACTTTTATAATTTGTTTGTATTGAAAGCTTTTTTTAATATAAAATAATATAAGATACAGGACATATATCTTGGCGTCGAGAAAATATAGGCCCTTAGGAAGATACTTCTTTAATAATTTATGAGTCTGTTTATCGGTGAAGATCTATTAAATTATATAAATTTAGCGGGATGGATTTAGCCCATACTAGAGCTCTTACGAGGAATGTAGTATCAAAACGGAGAAAAATCGCTAACTGAGGTACATAGAAGTTATTTAATGGCCTGTGACTGCAACCAAACAACCAACATGACAGATTTGAATCAGCTGCATATCAGTTAAAATTATTCTTACCTCGTTAGTCAGTACGTTTAACTCAGAGGCGTGTCTTGAGGAGTGCACAAATTAACTTATTGGGATTTTAAAAGCTTTTTATTGTTAATTACCCGGACGATTTCTTAAAAATAATTTCCAATGCAATAATTGCCTTTTAATTATAAGTTGGATATGGAATAAATAATTTTTTTTCTAACTATTTTTGCATTGAAAATATAAATACTATAGCGCAAAGTTCTTTTCATACAAAATAAATTTTCTTGTTCACGCGAAAATGTCGTCAACGGAAATAGACAAATTTATGAATATCGCCAATTCTATCTATAAATGTCTGGGCATCGTGTCATATCATAAAACTGGACGTCTTCAGCAAAGATCCTGGACTTATGCAGTCATTTTTGCGATAAGCGTTTTTGATTTAGCAACTGTCGCTTTAGCAGAGACTACGTTTATAATATTGAACTATAGAAATAATAATTACGCTGATATTGCCTCTACATTTTCTTATCTTGGTTTCGCTATTTTGGGCTTATTTAAAATACTGTTCGTACTGTATAAGAAGAAGGATTTGACCAATTTAATGAAGCAACTTGAAAAATTATTTCCGAAAAATAATGCCGAAAAAGAACAAATCGAACTGAAAAAGTATTTAAACTATTGCAGAAATGTTTCAATAGGTTTTACCATATTGAACATAATTCTCATAGCGACTTATAATCTGTATGCCATAACTGAGTATTTACTGTATGAACGCTTGCTTAAAACACGCATTGTTGGTAAAAACTTACCTTATGTGATGTACATACCATGGGATTGGAGAGACAATTGGACGTATTATTTCCTGTATGCTTTTGAGGATCTTGCTGGTTTTGTGGCTTCAACGGGGCAATTAGCTGGAGATTTGACCTTATCTGCAGTATCAGTACAACTTATAATGCATTATGATAATATAGCTAGACTTATAGCAGAATATAAAGTCAAAGCAACTGAAAATAGCGTGACATATGAAAAAGATTATAAGGAGGATGTAACATATTTGGCGAATGTTGTAGTTTACCATGAAGCAGTTTTAAAGTAAGTTTATATACCTTTGAAGTAATTATATATTTTTTGACATGCTCGATTTAAGGCTTTCCGATATAACGAATACCATTTTTGGTATACCTCTACTAGTTAACTTCATGTCCTCTTCATTTATTATATGTTTCGTGGGATTTCAAATAGCTCTCGGCGCTCCGGCAGATGCGCAAATAAAATTGTTTTTATTTTTAGTTGCTTTATCTGCACAAGTGTATTTAGTTTGTCATCACGGACAGTTGCTAATTGATTCGGTAAGTGCGGGCTATTTTAAACCCAATAATTATTTAACAAAAAGTAATTGCATAAATATAGAAGAACTCTTTTTCGGTAGAGTGTAGGTATATCTTACGCTGTCTATGAACATAATTGGATTAATGCTGATATCCGTTTTAAAAAAATGTTAGTGTTTATGGCTAGACGCGCACAACAGCCCGCTCTCCTTAAAGCTACAGTTTTTGTGGATATATCACGTAGTACTATGACTGATGTAAGCACTACTAATTTTTTCATACAAAAATTTAATAAATATATTGATTTCAATTACAGGTTATACAAATGTCATATAAGTTCTTTGCACTCTTACGCACCATGTATTCTGACTAAATCTTTCCAATTTATATTGACTTAAGATACTATTTCAAGAAATTAATATTATTGGATTGAGAATTTATTTGTTTTTATGTTAAATATGTACATTTAGTATTCGGGACAAAATTTAATCTTAAATATTATGTTACAAATACTGTTTAATTTATGCACGCATACCTTACCTGATATAAGCAATGTAAATTATTATAACTTATGAAATAACATATTACTATTTTTGTAGTTAAAAGTTAAAAGTTTAATACTTGTACAAGTTATTTCCGGTTGTTTCTTATTCTAGCTACTTACCTTAGTTCATTACACGATTCACTAGTATTTTTGCCAGTTTCTTTGGTAAGTGCAAACGGATGTCCATATTGATGTTACTTCACTTCACAGTTGATATTAAGACAAGACTTGTGATGGTCGTTAGCATCTCTTTTTTATTAATCACAGATGCATATAGAAGTAATAAGGAAATATAAGGAAATATATCTTATAAGGAAATATTTCACAATCCACACGTTAGGTAAGTCAGCGTATGCTACATATAGCTTCTGAATAGAATAGCTACCTTCTCGTTTGAGTCTACAATATGTTCAGCTAACGTTCTTTTCTCTAATTTATTACTGTTAAATGTTTAATAGATATTTTAAAAAATATCTGAACCTAGGTTTTATTTGTGTTTGTTTTACGGCTATGTGTTGTCTCCATGTCAATCGTCGGTCTAAATGAATACCAATATATGTAACGCTTTAGATGCTGGATGCTGGTATAATAACGTTTTTGAGAGTTACAGGTGGACAAGTTTCTTTTCAAAGTTATTTGTGTACTTTTTTGTTCATTTACGCGAATGCCTCAGTCGCTTAGCCAGTTTTGGACGTCCTTGAGCTTACGAACATAATCTTGAGACCTATAATCTTTTTGTTAATTATAAAGCAACTTTCCGTAGCTCCATAATTCACTGTATTCACGCTCTAATGTCTGCTTTCGGTATATCTACAAAGTTAGCATGACTACAGAATGACGTTAAGCAGTACCTTTAGATTTGCAAGGTAGAATCAAGTCTCTTCGAATCTATAAATGCTGTGCGGGGCTTGATTCTCTAATGTATGTTCTCTTCAATTTCATTATGTATATGATCATACATAGGACCGATGCTCATCAAAATGGCACAATATTTCACAAATGTGTCCATTTGTGTTATTTTGAATCTGCCAAAATAAGGTTAGCAATGAATGAGGACCAAACTTCCGATGTTGTCAAGGATCTTACATAATTTAACATCCCCCTAATAAACACAAACGATGACAATCTGGTTAAAAAGCATTGACGATGTCATGGAATGAAAAAGCAGCGCAGTTAAGTTTAGCGAATTAGCATCCAGCGGTTTTACTGGGTTGGTCATCTCATAAGAATGGATGCTCTACGACGTTCTAGCTAGAAAGGTGTTCGAAGCGGTAGTTATATACTACAGACTATGGAGAGTAGTGATGCGTGAATCCTAAACCTCATAACAGATTATTATTACTACATAAATAATTAAGTAAATAGAACAAACGATAAATAAACTTATATTTTTAAGTACTTCAAAACGGAATTATTATATTATTATGTTCATGTGACACTTCAAAAAAATATTATTGAACGATTAATGCGTTATATGAAACTAGGATGTTATGGATCGGTTCGTCAACAATCATAAAGTAAGTTTACTCTAATCTTTATAGGAGAAAGTGTAGACTGTAATATATCCTGTTCCGAAACAAAATTTTCATTTTTAATAATTTTCTTTATTTTCTTTTCTTTTTCTTTTCCCAAAGTACTCTCCTCCTGCGGCAATACATGCATGCCAACGTTTGATCCAATTTTCCACACAAGTTTTATAGGCCGCCTAATGTATGGCCTTTAGTTCACGCAGCGAATTCTCTTTTATGGCCTCTATGGTCTCAAAACGCGTTCCTCGCAATGAAAATTTGAGTCGGAGGAAGAGGAAAAAATCACACGGGGCCATATCTGGAGAGTACGGTGCTTGGTTGATGATATTGGTAGAGTTTTTGACCAAAAACTGCGACACAACCAACGCTGTGTGAGCCCGTGCGTTATCGTAGTGTAAAATCCATGAGTTTTCCTTTCATAAATCTGGCCTCTTTTTGCGAATGGTTTCACGCAAACGACGCATAACGGCCAAATAATACTCCTTATTGATCGTTTGACCATTTGACCGTACGGAAGGAATTCATAGTGCACCACACCACGAATGTCGAAGAATACAATCAGCATAACCTTGATTATGAACCGACTTTGGCGTTCTCTTTTCGGTTTCGGCTTACCTTCGAAGCACCATTCGGTCGATTGTTGTTTGGTGGGCATGTCAAATTCATAGACCCATCACCAGTTATGATGCTTTCGATGAATGTGGGATGTGGGGTCACTATTTGCGTTGGAAATCATCTTTTTTTCAAATCACAACAACGCTTTTTTTTGAATGAAATACAGCTAAAAATCGCCACACGAAAATTTTTCGACTTCTTTGTATAGACGCCAAACAAAAACTAATTGTATGATATGCGTTAAACTTTGACAGAATGTGTATAATAGTGTTGCCAGCGTGAAAATAAAAAAAATTTACCGATTGGATCAATTAAAATTCTCGTTCTTTTTTGATCAGAAGGTATGTAGTTATACATATTGATTTATCACACTTGAGTTATTATGCTATATAAGTTGTAAAACTATACATAAAGTATAATGTATTAAGGTAAAAAGTTCCAATTAACACTTTCTGCGAGTTACATAGTTCTGTAAAGGAGCAAAATTGTTTTTATTAGTATCCACTAATAACGCAGGAATAATATGTCGTCAATAATTATTATTGGTTAAGGTGAAATGGAATAAGATGGAATAAGAAAATTTTGAAGTTTATGATGTGCATTGTGTCACCTCAAAATTACCTAATCTAAATTTTAATCACTTTTACTAATATTCAACTGAGCATATAAGCTTAATATTATCATCGTTTAAAGAATAGAACAACTGTTCAGCTATTTCAAATATTTCGAATTTTTAAATAGATTCCGTGAAAGAAATCTAAATCTTGAAATAAATAAATGGACATCATTTAATCATAATTTAAAACTAAGACTTCAAATGTAGGTAAAATTACACAACCATTTTTACTATGCAGAACCTTGAACACTCTGTCATACCCAGTCAATAGCATATGTGTTGCTATACTATCGTCCTGTGGTTATCCTGTTTTAGATATTTGTATGTATGTATTAGTTTAGTGTCATTTTAAAATTATTTTCGGACAGCATATTGTTGATTACATGTGTCTTGTGTGAACATATGGTGTTGTACCTTATTTTTGATTTTCTAAAAAAAAGGATTGCAACCTTCAGCATGCAAATATTTCGAAAGTTAAAGTATTTGCTCTAATATTACGTGTTGCACCCAACAGAAGTCCCATCACATGTGTGTTGGCTTGACACAGCTTGACTTAAAGGAAAACAATTTCAATTTGGTTGCATCCAGTGTCACACTATACTCTTCATGCATTTACTACTGCAACTTTACCAACAATTTTTATCAAGTTTAGTATTTCCCCTTGCATAACTTTTGCATTTTCTCTCCTGTCAACACGTACAAATTTAAAGCTATTTGAAGTTTGATTCGCTTCGACTATTAAATAAAATTCTCTTTTTTATGTATATAAAAATTTGGAAAATTTTTCAAAAATTTAATTTCAACTTTTGCTGCATTTTCACTCGACCAAAATGATAAAATTAAGTTCCTGAAAGTGTGCATTGTGTGTCATGCATGCTAGTATACTCCATGCAGATATTTTGTGGCAAATATTGATAAAGGTTTAACGTGATAAAGGTTTAAGTTTTAAGTACGTTAAATACATAATTGAATTTGACATCATTCGCCATTTTCATATACGCGATTTTTTTACACTATAAAACCTTTTTTTTAACATGAAACTGAAAAATTAACTGCCATAATTAAATTAAAATGAATTACGGCATATAATGAACAATTATTGGAAATTGTACATATTATACGTATTTGCTTGTGCCCTTAACCCTCTACCTAAATGGATTACATTATAAAATATGTACTTTTATATTAGCGAAATTTCAGTTTTTAGGTCATGGCTATCTTTATAAAGTTTATTTTTGTGAATAAAATATATGTACGTGAATATATTTTTCTTACTTAAATTAGAAGTAGTTGGTTTTTGTAGCGAAAAAATTTTTAGTGATGTTTTTCTTTACTTGTCTTCATTGCATTATTATTTAGGAACGTCACACATTAAAGAACATTTTCGCTTAATTTTTTTATTAAGCTTAATACTACTTTTAGGTAGTCGAATTTCCTTAATTTCGTTAAAATGAAATTAAGTTTATTTGGAAAGGGTTCATACTACCTCAAATTAAGGAAATCATATGATTTTTGTTTACAAATTGAATGTTAAAAATTACATGCTCAAAACATTATTTATATCTGCGAAAAGTTTATTATTATAACTATAAAGGATGGCGTTCAGTAGTTTTATTAGCTTTAGTGGACTTCAGGTATATTATGTTTCACTATATTTTTAACTAATAACAGTTACAGTTTTTTCTCTATATTAAAATTAAAAAATTTGCAATACTTTCAAAATATTTTCCCTATTTAATCAACTGTCACATTTATTTAAAAAAAGATTTACTTCTGTACAAAGTATATTTGGTAATCCCAAATTGCCCAGTGAAATATTTGTGGCCATTTGTGGACTTCCATAATAAAATATTTTAAATTTGTTAGACTGAGGCACTTGCAATCCAAGTGCTCAGTTCCTTACTTTCCTGGAAGAAACTATACTTTTATTTCAAGGGTTCAGTAAACTCAGCATCACCATATGTTTTGCCATTTTGCTACTAATTCTACCCAGTAGAATTTTTAGTCTTGATAAATTTTAACTTAACAACGTTAATTTGGAGTTTTCATACCTTTTTTTCCAATCACAA